AGTAAGAAAATGTGACTTTTTATTTTAACTAAGGGTCATGGATCAGATTTTAGAAAAATATAAACCAAACTGCATCATCAGTTTTATAAAAGTGGATCGGTTAATTGATCATTTTTTTATAAAGTGAATTGGTTTTATTTTTTTAAAATATCTGTCATTTTTTTTTTGAAATTGGATCAATTCGGTGTAATGCAATTATCCATTTTTTACTCATATATGAATCGATTTTTAAAAAAAATTGAATCGAATCAAATTGATCCACTTTGTAAAAATAGATCAGATAACTTAACTAACTTTATAAAGTAGATCGATTCAGTTTTTTTTCAAAATAGATCAAATTTTTTAATACAAATCGGATCAGTTATAAAACAATTCGGATTAATTTATATTTTTTTGTAAACCCCTAATTTTAACGATAGTATGTTTCAAAAACTCAAGAAATTGTGAGTCTAACTCTAAGTTGTGTGCTTCATTTTATACAAAGAGAGAATACTATTTTAAGAGTCATATTTGGGGTGATTTTTATTTAGTTGATAGCGTAAAAGGTATACTATATTTATACTTCAACTCTAAAAATAAAAAAAAATCTGCCATCCATATGTTGTTTATAAATAAATTTGTAACCATTATTAATTCTTGAAGTTTGCCTTGCCCTTAAGATTGAAGAGTTACTCAAGATCCTAAACTTTTACATGCCAACAAAATCTCATATAGTAATTAATTACGTGTTTTAGATGACGTTATTTAATTACGTCAAAAATCACATTAGAATTGACAACAAATGTAAAAATTATAAATATTTGCTTTGTGAATCCAAATTAATGTGAGATAGTTCCAAAAACACAGTAAAATACTCTACATACACATTTTTAATACCAAACTAATTATTCAAATCAAGCCAAAGACGTTTCATTATCTTACGTTTTAATGACAATATCGAAGTTGATTTACCTCGGCCAGAGAATACGAAAATTAAAATTTTAATGGATTGATTCATGTGGCTTTCACTTTCATAGTCACAAAAGGGTCGATCATGATAAGGACAAGGGAACAATATTAATTAAAGAAGATTTAATCCATTGCCAATTTCGGAAACAAAGTGGCACACACTCAATTCTATAAATTATGCAACACATGTATGGCTCCGCCACGCCTAATTAATTAATCGATTATGCAAGCGACATTTCAACTAGAGGATGCTTTTGATATTAGAAAAACAACAGTAAAACATGATGTTCAGATTATTCTCATTATAAGTCAACATTATGTACTAATTATTTACTTTTGGAACTTTCTATATTTGATTTAAATATTCACATGTTAATGTTACCCGGTATACAGCTGGCCTATTTAGTAGGCCCAAATAGCAAGAATTTAATTTGAGGTAGGGGTGATTCTTCATAATGATGAAATCTACTAGAGGGTGATGTTCAAGAGATTTAGGTTATTTGGGTCTATGATAAGCTTATCTTGGCTAATGGTGAGGCCACCTGCATCTGCATGAACTCAGATGCTCAAATTAACAAGAATTTAAGTGGAGTTATAAATCAAAAAATGAGAGAGGGAAAAATTATCATTTTTTATGTATTAAATACTAATGATTATTTTGTGTGAGTATTTTTAGTGACTATTATTCGATGGGAATATTTCTTAGAGATTCTTTTGATTTCTTATTTAATTTAAATGTTTATTTATCATATCTATTTATAAATTAAATTTTATAATTTTAAAATAAAATATCAGTAAGTAAAAATAGTCTTGTATATAATTAATTATAAATTTTAATTACATATAGTAAATATTTATTTTGTGAAATATATATATTAAAATACTAGTGTTTATAATATGATCATAATCATATATGACAATTGGATTTTATAACTAAGCCGCATTTTATTTTTCATATATTTTGATTTGGTAACATTAATTTTATATTCTAAAAAAAAGTCATATGATCGATTATAACTAAATTAGTTATAACTTAAAATTAGTTTTGAAATTTTTTTAAAAAATTATTAAGGGGTCAGGTTGAAAATGTTGTGGTCGAGAGTAAATTAGAGATGCTCTAATTATAACCGAGTTGAAAAGCATCTAGCCAAAATCTAGTTAAAAATGCTTTAGTTGAGTTGAAGGTGTCCTAAATAAGGTTAAGTTAAAAATGATAAGATTAAGATTGAGTTAAAAGATGTCATGGTGACACCAAGTTAAAGATATTTAGTGGAAATGAAGTTGAAATTACTCTAATTGAGATTGAGTTAAAAATACTTTGATTAAGACTAGTATAAAGATGTTATACCCAAAATTAAGATGAAGATGTTATGGTCAAGATTAAGAAGAAGATATTATGGTTGAGGTCAAGGTGAAGGTATTTTGACTAAAATATATGTTATAAATGCTCTATAACATTTTCTTTTTTCACTAAATTATAATTCTGTCTCTTTTTCGCTTTATATATATATATATATATATATATATATATATATATATATAAATATAAAGAGAGAGATTCGTTTATTCCAGAAATAAGTTTAAACTTACTTTATTTAATAATTCATGTTTTACATTAAATTTTAACGATACATCCATTGAAGTTTGTAAAAAAAAATTTAAAAAAATTGAAAAATATTTAATATTTCGTTTCATTAATTCAAATCAACGTATAAAATATTTTTATGATTATCCGTCAATTTGAATTAATGAAACAAAGTATCAAATGATTTTTAATTATTTTAAAGATTTGCAAACTTGATCTATGCATTAAGAATTTTAAATTCAACTATTGGATCGTTGAAATTTAATGTAAAATGAGTTATTAAATAGAGTGAATCTAAATAGACTTACTCTTGGAGTAAACGGATCCCTCTTATATATATAGGAGAGATTCGTTTACTCTAGATTTAAGTCTATCTAGACTTACTCTGTTCAATAACTCATATTCTATATCAAATTTCAAAAATCCAATCGTTGAATTTAAAGTTCTTAATGCATAAATCAAATTTGTAATTTTTTTAAAAAATTTAAAAATCATTTGATATTTCGTTTCATTAATTCAAATCAATGTATAAAATAATTTTATGATTATCTGTCAATTTGAATTTGATGAAATGAAGTATCAAATGATTTTCAAATTTTTTAAAAATTTGCAAGCTTAATCTATACATTAAGAATTTTAAATTCAATAGTTAGATCGTTGAAATTTGATATATGATATGAGTTATTGAACGAAGTAAGTTTAGGTAAACTTACTCTTAGAATAAACAGATCCATCTCCATATATATATATATATATATATATATATATATATATATATATATATTTTTTTTTTTTCACAATTAGAGTAATGCAATTTTTTTATCCATCATAAATATAATGACAACACCATAATTCGAATTTAAAATCTTATACATACTACTTTAACTTTCATCACTAAATCGACTCTAATAGTTTAATAATGCAATTTAAACTTATGATATTCTGCATCTTTTAAGAAAAATTTCACCACTACATAATTCTATAATTGTTCTCATCTTAAGTTTTAGTTTGTAGCAATTTGTCACTATATAAAAAGATTTTCTTTGATGCTAGTATCAACCACGAACCACCAAGGATCAAAATTTAATTTAAAACTTAAAAGTCATTTATAAGAAGATTAAAACTTAAAATAGAGACGATTATAAGAATCAATAAATAGTTATCCTATCATTAGGATTTGACTTAGTGGTGAGAGGTTGGAAACTTGGAATAGTATATATACAGAATTTTGTTTGAATTCAGGTTTTGTCATTATAATTTTGATGATAAAAAAAAAATTCAAATAATTACCCAAATAAAATATTCGCACTACTTTTTCATTCTTAATTTTAACAATTTCTTTCTAAACTCTTTTAGCATTTATAGAACTGCAAGTAATCGACACCTTATAAAACAGGCCCTAAACTGTGGGGTTTGGATATTATCTATTGTAAGGAATTTTTGTTGACCCAAGCGAATGAAAGCTGATAAGTGTTTCCCTTCTCTTGGAGCTCATAAAATTCATATTTTTCTTTCAAAACTTTATTTATAGTATAAAACTTAAATTATAGATTGATAGTGTTAGCTTAAAATCTTCATACAATTATTTCATTTTATGTAAACAAATTTTGGTTATTATAGTCATTGAACATATAAATTCATTAATACAAAGTTGTTAACTTAATCATTCATTTTAAGATGGAGTCATGATTCCAAGTACGATAGAAATAAATGAGACAATGTATAAAAAATAATTTAACTCGCACTTATCTTAAATTATTAAAAAAAATTCACTTATCATTTATTTATGTACTATTGGATGTGAAAAAGAATTGTCAAATATATGGTTAAGGAGACGATAACAAAGATGCATGTATTGCGCTTCAACCAAATGCACCAAAGAATTTGGTGTTACAACTCCCAATAGTCCATATAGGAAAAAACTTGAAAATGTTTTCTTTTAAAACATTTCTGACATTATTGACCAATCAAAATTAAAATTTCCCTTTAATAACCTATGTTGATTTTTAATAATAAAAAAACCCTTATTTGCACATATTATTGAGATATAATTTTAAATCAAAGAATAACACTCAAGGGACCTACGTTGCATTTGTGTTTTGTCTGTCATTTATCCAAGAGACCTGACAAACTTAATTTGAATTATCTTTGTTTCATAAATCAAAAGTACTTCTTCTAGAAGAAAATAAAAAATTAAATTAAATTAACTTTTCCACAACTAAAAATAGTTTTAAATTTTTTTTTGGAGCAGCTAAAAATAAGAGTTTCTATAAATAAGTTGATATATAAGCTAATTTTAACTTTATTAACTTATAAAAAAAACACTAATTTTATATTTTTCTTCTATAAGTATTTCTAATAAAGTAATACACATATATCCCGCATGCCGCATGCGACCGTTGTTCATTGAAAGCTGAAAAGAAACAGAAGCGAGACAAATATGTAAAAATCAATTTAAAACATGCTATGATTCAATGGAAAATTCATTTAGCATATTGATAACTAGAATAATCTAAAAACAGAAAATTAAGGTTGCATCCGATAACTGTACAGAAGCATAAACAAGTATCTGACTAAACAAATTATCGAAACCTGAGACATGGGCTTAGAAGAAAAGAAGCTAATAGGAAAAAACAGCTTTCCTTCTGGCAAAGGCCTTCTTTACTTACCACCTCATACGAATTTTTCAATGCTCGTGGTCAATGTTGACTTGGGCACAGCACCAATAACTGTATCTTTCTTCTCACCATTCTTGAAGATCATAACAGTTGGAATGCTTCGAATCCCATACCTTGTAGCAGTTGAAGGGCTCTCATCAGTGTTAAGTTTGTAACACTTGAGCTTCCCTGCATATTGCTTTGCCAGTTCATCGATTATAGGGTGAATCATTCTGCAGGGACCACACCATGGTGCCCAGAATTCAACCAAAACAGCAGTTTCAGATTCAAGCACAAGCGATTGCCAATTTGCATCAGTAATAGGAGCCACTGCAATATACAATAATAGAAATGATTTCATTCCGATTAGTATCTCTCAACCAAGCAAAATTTTTAATTTGCAATTTCTCAAATATGCAAAATTTTCAACCAAGAAAGTGGTCATTGGGATTCATAGAATTTCATTACAATGATGCATTGATTCTGTGCTGAATGGAGAACATGCAAACCAGATAAAGTTTTAGGTTGGCTGATGTGACAAAAAGCCTAATACACCCTCCTCCTTTACCTGAGCTTGGTTCTTGGAACTAGCAATGAAACCATAGGTGGAGTTTAATCTATGCTTATGTTGATTAATAAGAGAAAAAACATACCTAGCCAAAAACTACACCTTATTAGGTTTATGAAATCAATGCAAAGGAAATACACGGGACATAACTTATATACAACACCTTAGGTGAAATAAAAGTTTATACAAAAGGTCGACACAGATTACTTACATGAAATTCTAATTCTAAGTTTAATACACTGCAACCAAGTGTTGTTCATACATGATACACGAAAACTATGGTCCCGTGCATGTCACCTCACACTAACAAAAGCCAAAGCTATCGATACTTTGTCAATGCCGTAATCAACTCCGTGCGGAGGTTAACAAACAGACAGAGGAACTTTTGAAACTAGTGCAATTCAAAATCAATATTTCTAACAAAATCCTCCATTTCATTACATCATGGTTATAAAAGTTCACACTAATCTAAAACCACTTCCTACCCTACCTAAATGTCTCAGTGTTGATGTATTCCATACTTTCTCAAAGACTCAAACAAAGGGAAATATCAAAATATCAATCAACCGGTTAAAATAGTAACGAGTTATATTTTTTTTTTGCTTAATGTTTTATTAATCACTCAAATTTAGGATTAATTTGTTTTGTCCCTCAAATTTAAAATTAATTTTTTTAGTCTTATAATTTTAAAAAATATTGTTTTAGTTCATTAAGATTACCACTAGCATAAAATTTTATGTGACACATTTACTAGCTACATTTAAATGGGGGACTAAAATAATATTTTTATTCGAATTACAGGGACTAAAATTTTTTATTTTAAATTTGAATAGAAAAAACAAATTTACCTCACATTTCAAGGATTTAAAACATTTAATTTTTTTAAGATAACATGTAGGTTAAATTATACTTTTGATCTCACTATTTATTTTTAAAATTCAATTTAGTCCCACTATTTTTAAATGATTTAATTTTAAAAAATCGCATCAGTAAAATTGAACAAAAGGACAACATGGAACACCTTTTAAAAATTAGAGGAGCAAATTGAATCATTTCAAAATTGTGGTCACTTGTTTTTTTTTTTTTTTTTTTTTTTCAAGTACACAATTTCTTGTTATTCATGATCTTGTTAAGGTAAGTTTAAGAAAAATAAAATTTATTTACACAAAAAATGTTAGATAAATTTTTATTCAATTTAATCTCACTATCTTTAAAATGTTCAATTTAGTTTCCACTATTTTTAAAATGTTCAATCTTCTAATTTTTTTAAAGAAAATATTCAATGTTCTTATTTTATTTAATTTCATTAACACCGTTTAGACATAAAGACAACATTAAACATTTTCTTTTAACCATTGATATACATTAGACTACTTTCCCCGCGAAGTCGTCCACCAGTATCAGTCCAAACCCTAAGGCCTACTAATAACTATTGATCATCTCTTTCGAATTTATTTTCAACACTAACGCAAGAAATTCAAACATTTTTCTTGTTTTATTCTATGTATTGCAACGAAATTTGATCAAAATAAAATAATTGTTGCAACGAAAACATAACACAAAAGGAAATGAAAGCTAACCATCGACAGCAGTATCCTGAGCCTCGCAGGCGACACGCGCGGCGCGTGAGACGGTTTTGGGAGTGGGGGAGGCGACGAAGCGCGTGGCGGCGGGTCTGAGCTTGAGGCCGGCGCAGTGCGGGAGCTTAACGGAGGTCCGGCGGGCGGCGACGGGGGAGAAGGCGGCGGAAGGGAGGCGACTGACGGCGAGGGAATCGAAGAGTGTGGCCATGGCGAAGGGAGAATGTGAGATCTGAAGAGTGAAGTGTTGTATTGTAGTTATGTGTGCGGATGAGGATGAGGTGCGATTCGCCTTGTATTCTAACGTTTTCAGCGCCAATGGATCCACGCCATGTCACCACTCCTTAGTACATGTGCAACCCCCACAATTTCCAACTTGTGGTTCATAATAACACAAAATAAATCACACTTTTTTATTTATTTAATGACATTGAAAAATTTTATTTTTTAATTAATAAATATGTGCTAAATTTATACTTCAAAATGTTTCTAAATTATTTCATGTTCGATTCTTATTTAAGCGTTAAAGTTATTATTCTGAATAATAATTAGTCATTAATGATTAATTTTAAAATATTATGTGAATCTTGTTTATAAAAAAAATTAATGAGATGTAGGAGTGTCAAAATGGCCAGTGAAGTACGGGCTGGCTCGTTGACCCGTCAAAATTTAACAAGTCTGACTCATCATTCCAATTTGTCAAGCCGGCCAACCCATTGGTAATTTTTGTATAGTTTTTTTTTTGCATTTTTTTTAATATAATACAGGATGATCTTTCGGCTCGTCAGCCCGCTAGCCCGCATTACGGACTAACTATATTTCTAGCCTACTTTTCAATGATAAGTCGGTCTAACCCGACTTATTTTTAGCAAATTATTGATGGATTGAGGAAAAATAGGCTGAACTGACCCGCTTTGTCATCTCTAAATTGAGATGCATATTATATGTTTCAAAAGTTTTTACATTTCAAAAACATGAATAAGAGACTTATTGTATTTTAAGCGACATATATTAAATAAATTTTATTTATTTGTTAAATTCATAAATACATTTAATAAAGATATTTTTGTAAAGTAAAAAATTAATTTTGTAGAAAAGATTAAACTAATTTTGAGTAATATAATAAAGAACGGTGGAAATAATAACAATTTTCTAATTAATACTATGCTATGCCAACTCTTTTTTACACAAGTTTTTAAAATAAAAATTGATTCTTAACTCTTTTTTATTATTGAAATACAGTGACATGATTTTCACATGATAAGAATACATGTACATAAAAATTAGGATTTTGCAGGAAAATAAACTAGAAGGTGAATTCACAGTAAAACTCAGATAAAATGAAAAATTCAACTTAAAAGAGTTGGGCAAAAAAATAAATATTTTCTAATATATTTGTACTAATGATAATGTGAATTTAGAGCTAACATCCTTATTTTATAAATACCAAGAATTAAATTGTATTTTAGAAAAAATTCATTATGCAAAATAAAATCTACTTCAATATTTTTTATATTTTTAAAGAAATTAGTCTTCAACATGAGAGTATTCTCGATGGAAATAAAAAATTGTTGCGATGCTAAAAAAGAATTTATTGGGTAATATTTTTTTAAGTTGATTTTCTCATTTTCTATCTCCTTAGAACTAATTAACTAAGTGTAACTGAATAAAGTTATTTGCTATTTCGATTCGAGTCGTAAATATTTAGATGAGTACATGTTAACAATTTTAAATGTTATTGTCGCTTTATTTTTATTAGAATTATAATTATGGTGTTAGAATTTTAAATTTTGTACATATTTCTTCGATCTTTCACTATTAGGACAATTTTGTTACTCTTTCAATAGTATCGAATGTACATCTCTAGTTTATTATTTTTTTACCAAAAATAAATTAAAAATTAAATTAAGTAGATTTTTCAAATTTTCTATTAAGGGAGTTTCTCAAAAAGTGAGACTTAATTATTTATAAACAATAAATTTGAATTATCATTTTAAAAAGAGAATATTTTTAAGTGCTATTCTTATTTTCTAATTCATTTGATTTATTCTAAATTAAGAATTTTTATTTTATTTTATATTTATAATTTATATTCCTTTTAAAGACTATTTATTTAATTTCAGTTTATTTTTAATTTAATTTTAATTTTAATTTTTTGAAATATTGTATTCGATGAATTGATGATATTTTTCCTTTTTAGGTAAATGGAATTTTACAATTATTTTAATTTTAATAAATTATAATCTAAATTTAATTCTTAAATTTTGAACTTGATCATATGATATTAATAAATATGATGTAACATGTAACGACTCACCTTATTTGTCACACTAAACATAATCATTGCTACTAGCAGCAAAACTAAACTACTAGAACATACAAAATTAAAGGAGAGAACGTGTCATACATATATATGGAACATGAACATGAAAGTAAAACACTGACACCAACCTGCAAGCAACAATTGCTCCCTCAGTCTTAGTCCTGATTTGCTATCATACAATGTATAATTATTATAGTCCAAACTACAATGAAAACAGAAGGGTAAGGTAAAGTTGGAAAACATGTAAGTATAGAAAAAAAATTCTATAACCTACAACATCATAGTAAAACATACATGAAATCCAAACACCCAAAAGCAAACATGTATCCCACCCACCCCATGTCAAGCAAAACATTCAGCAATACACATGATCACACCACAAGATACATCATATGCAAACATCTCAACTAATGTATCGTCATGCATTCATCTACATAGATCTCCTAACAATATGAGCAATCTAAGTGACACCATCCTACCAAATCAACTCAATTGTTTTTGCATCCAAAGCATTGGCTCGATCATAGCAAAATGGGATACCAATCCCTTCTATGATTTCTTGGATCTTGTCACTTGCACTAAGAAAGTCTGATTCTACTATTAAGAGTAGTATAGTTGGATATAGGCTTACCATGACATTGACATGCATTACCAAGTCACATATGAAATTCACCTACCAATTATCCTCAAGGAACCATGCAACATTTTCAAGTAATTGGTTAAGGATTGTAACTCTTGATCTCCTACCTTACTCAATCACTAACTAAGGACCTAGAGGAAACATCAACACACCTCAAAATTTACTCTAAGAGACACACCTATTTAAGGAGGGTTTTCCAATAGTGGTCCCGAGCATCACTCCAAGATTCCTTATATGGGATTTTTTGTTTTCAAAAACAATTTCTTCTCCTGAACTAATAAGTTAGCCAACACGTCTCAATGTCATACCACATTCTCAACATCCACACCTCACCATACATCATCTATATGCATAACATCCACTCAATACACATAGAGATCAACAACACCATACAAATATATAACATACATATGTTCACCATCATCCAACATCATACAATCATCTATATATGTCATATTCAATCAACTTATATAGAATAATCATCATACACCATACAACATGCAATAGAATAACGTAATCTACTCATGTTTATCAAATACATTCACCAAAAACACCAATATATCATTTAGGCATCCTATGCTCGACACAACATGCCTCACGCTTGGGGCCATTATTGAAAGGAGCTTTTTCCCTTGATCACACCCAGTGTCATCCAAACCGTGCCCGATGTGACCGAGGTGGAGATCTCGTGGGACCTCACACCTGGCGTGACAAAACCCACATCCGACCTCATATTAGGTAGATATTTTTTGCCTAACTCACGCCTGACATCACCATGTTAAAGACTTTCTACACTCTCACGCTCGACGCCATTCAAATTGTGTCAAGCACCATCCCAACCCAAGATGAGTCTCTCTCCACATGCTCGACACCACCGATCTTGTGTCTAGTGTGATCAAGATAGAGCCCTCTAGTTCACTACAAAAAGAACACTCATTATCGACGAATTTTTTCCAACGGATAAATATCCGTCTGAAAAATGACATTACCGACAGATTTTTTCAACGAATATGTGTTCGTCTGAAACATAAATGATTTCGACGGATATTACACACAAATTTTTTTCATCTAAAATTTCATATGGATGTTACCCACAATTTTTTTACGTGGGAAAATTATGATGTTTCAGACAGATATTTCTAACGGATTATCTGTCTAAAACATTGTTCGTAGAAAATGCAAAAAAATTTGTCGGTAACTTTAAAAAATTTAATGATAAAAGATTAACAAATTAAATTCTTAAATACTTAACTAATTTTCTCATGCTAATTAATTTACCATACCAACTATTATATAAAGTTGTCAAAGTGGGCTTAACCCAGTAAGCCAACCCGACCCACCACGGGTTCGAGCCGGGTTGGGTCCAAAAAAAATTGAAAATTTCAGTACGGGCCAATTTTGAACTCGGCTCACTAACTACCCGACTCACCCGGGTTGAACCTGTGGTGAGCCGAGCTGGCTCACCAACCTGTAATTAAAAAAAAGAAGCAATAGTTATTGGGCCAATGTGTAGATGCAACCTAACCCAACATGAGAATATGAGATAGGGTTTCAATTTTAACTTCAGAAATCGCACCGCACCATAGCTGCCACTGCCACCGCACTGCACCATAGCTGCCACCGCACCACAACTACGATGCACCGCACCACAACTACCAAGTTCCACCGCGCGCATTGCAACTACCACTACACACACCGCGAGCCACCATGAGCACCACGAGCCATCGCGCGTCACAACCCCAGGCCACCTTGCACCTCGCAAATTAAGAGTTTCAGATTTTTAAAATAGGTTTGAGTTTTTTAAAAATTATGTGAGCTAACCCGTTTAACCCACCAACCTGTGGTGGGCCAAGTCGGGTTCAATTTTTTGAGTTCACTAATAAATGAGCCAGGTTGGGTTGGCCCACCAAATGATCAACCTGTGGTGGGCCGGGCCGGGTTACCCATTTTGACAACTCTACTATTATGTATATAATTTATAATAAATGATAGTATAAAATAATAATTTACCATCAATATATTTTAATATTATATAGTTAATTTTATTTAAATTGAGAAATATATAATTAGTGAAATGATATTGATGCATGATAATCTAAAATTAAAATATAATTTCTTAACATTTATAATAATTTTACCAATTTTGAACTATATTATTTTTAATAAAATAAGATTTTTATTTAATACAATTTTAAAATTATTTTTTAAAAATATTATCAACAATACCCATGAAATTATCGACATTATTACCGACCAATATATCCATGGGTAATTATATTTTATTAATAATTTATTTTAAAATTCATAAAATTAATTCATAAGTAATTATG